CGGCACTCCAGCCCGGGCAACACAGTGAGACTCTGTCTCACAAAAAAAAAAAAAAATGACCTATAATTTTCAGAAATCTTCAGAAATGACAATGTTATGAAAATAAAGTTGAGGAACTATTCCAGATTGAAGGAAACTAAAGAGATATAACAACTAAATGCAACACGTGGTCATGGATTGAATATGGATCAGAAAAAGAAATGCTATAGACCGAGCATAGTGGCTCATGTCTGTAATCCTAGAACTTTGGGAGGATTGCTTGAGACCAGGAGTTTGAGACCAGCCTGAGACCCCATCTCTACAAAATATTTAAAAAATTAGCCAGGTGTGGTGGCACATGCCTGTAGTCCCAGCTACTGGGCAGGCTGAGGCAGGAGGATCACTTGAGACCAGGAGTTTAAGGTTGAAGTGAGCTATGATGATGCCACAGCACTCTAGACGGGGTGACAGAATGAGACCCTGTCTCAAAAAAGAAAAGAAAGAAAGAAATGCTATAAATTTTGATCAACTGGCAAAATTTGAATATGGCCTGTATATCAAATAAGTGCTTTAACAATATTAAATTCCGGAATTTGGTAACTGTTCCATGGTTTTATAAAAGAATGTCCTCGTTCTTAGGTGATTATATGATGAAGTATTGAGAAGTAAAAGGTCATCATGTCTGCAATTTATTCCAAAATGGTTCTGGGGGAAATATATGAATATATATACAAAAATACATATTTTAACTTACACACACACATATATATCCATAGAGAATGTACAGATGTGAAAAAATATTACCACTAGTAATCTAGGTGAAGGGCATACAGGAGTTCATTGTACTATTCTTACAACTTTCTATAGGTCTGAAATTCCTTTTAAGTAAAATGTTAAAATGAATTTTAAAACAGCCACATACCATGCTGTAAGATATTCAGTCAAATTGCCTGTATTTTGTAAGTTTATTTCAATCTGGTACAAATTTGAGGGCTTATAAAAACCTTACATCTTCAGAAAAAAACAGGCAATAGTCAAGTACATTTTTAATTTATTAGTTCAGAGCAAGTCCATCGGGCTTGCTCAGATGCTGTACTTCTACTCTTCTGGACATGACAATGTTTTTAGTGCAGCAGCCTTTGTAAGAGAGTGTGCTGTATAGTAAGTCATGGGTGTGGGAAGCAGCCAATGGAATGGCCAGAAGGTTAAGACCCTAGAGTCTGGTCCTAGAAGTGGGAAAAGTAATTCTTTAACTCTCTCCTAACCCTAAGGAGGAGCAGAGGTGGAAATGCAGCTGGTACCAGCAGGTATACAAAGTAGGAATCCTTTAAAATGCCTCCAAATCCTTTGGATGAATAATGGGTCATGTTTGGCCATATCCCTGAGTAGTAACTAGGTCAAGTAATTCTTTCAATAAAAATTAACCAGTACCTATAAGGTATTATTCTCAAGGATAGAGTTATAAAGCCCGGGAGCCAGATAAGTAACTTCTTTCCAACAGAAATACATATTGGGGGTTAAGGATGAAATGACAGGGATCCAAGAGGGGCAGAAGCAGGACAGTGTCAGAAAAGGCTTCTCAGAGGAGGTCATCACTTATCACTAGAAGTACAAGGAAAGGGGCAAGGAAAAGGGATTCTAGCCAAAGAAAATGGCATATGCAAAGGCTACATGAAAGAGGATGCAACATTCAGGCTCTGCCAGGACAGATAAAGGAAATCACTAAAGTCTTTTTAACCAGGACCATTAACACCATCAAATCTACACTTTCAAAACTTAATTTTAGGGAGTATATGGAATATAAGTTTAGAGGCTTGATGCAGTACTTCAGGTAGATGGTGTTTGGGTAGAGATAAGGAGAAAGGTTCTAGAGAGATCACAGAGATCGAACTGATAGGAATTGATGACTGGCTTTAGGTCTGAGTAAGACGAGACATTTTTCTAGCAAACATGACAGGGTAGAAAGTATCATCAACTGACATGAAATCTGAGAGGAATCAGGTTTAGGAAGAAGATAGGTTAAATAAACGTTGAACATCAATTTTTTTTTTTTTTTTTGAGACAGAGTCTCACTCTGTTGCCCTGGCTAGAGTGAGTGCCGTGGCGCTTAGCTCACAGCAACCTCAAACTCCTGGGCTCAAGCGATCCTCCTGCCTCAGCCTCCCAAGTAGCTGGGACTACAGGCACGTGCCACCATGCCCGGCTAGTTTTTTCTATATATTTTTAGTTGTCCAATTAATTTCTTTCTATTTTTAGTAGAGATGGGGTCTCGCTCTTGCTCAGGCTGGTCTCGAACTCCTGAGCTCAAACAATCCGCCTGCCTCGGCCTCCCAGAGTGCTAGGATTACAGGCGTGAGCCACCAGGCCCGGCCTGAACATCAATTTTTGAGATAATCTAATAAATTACTGAATGGTTTTTTCCCTCCGCAAAGAATAAAATACATCCCTAATTCTGGTGTAGTTCCTGTTTAATCCAGGTATGTATTAGACATCATCTATGTGCCAGGCACTGTCCCAAAATCTACTATTTTTGTATTTGTAAAAAACAAACCATAGTTCGGAAAGAGAGATCTAAAGGCCATCCTACCTGTGAGGTAAAGGTCAGCCTCTACGCCCTGTAGAACGCTGCTCCCAGAACCAGCACAAAGGGCCACGACTTTGACTTGGGACTCTTCAACATAAGAGAAACAAGAGACCAATGCTTTACAGTTCCCTTTCATTTTAATAATATAATTCGTACTCCAAGAATCTTAGATGTAATGCAGATTTCACTCCTGGTCTCATCACCAGTATATGAATTGTGCTTACTGAATTTTTGACACTTTCTAATATAATCAAACAGATCACTCTTTGGTATTGCATAGCTAATCCAAGGCAGCGTTATTACTCCTTTGGATGTGGCTGCACAAGCCCACAGCCACTGCGTAGTACTAATGGTGCAGCTCTAGGTTTTATCCCAATGCTGCTAGGTACACTGGTGAGAGGCAGGCAAGTACTACCTCTATTCTCAGGTGAAGAAGCTGAGGAACTAATAGGGCTAGTTAGAGGAATGCTACGAATGCATTTAGCACATATTTTTTTAATATACTATCCTCTAAGAACATAATATACTAATATACTATCCTCTAAGAACATCCTCTGAAAAGTGAAATAACAGAAACTTTCAAACCAAAATCCAAGTATTCAGCATTTAGGTTTCTAAAATGGATACTTTATTAGTAGTCACTGCAGTTTAGGGGTGTGGTGTGTCAAAGGGGGGCTTTGGAGTTGGACTGGAACTCAAATCCCACCTCTGCTGTCCATTTGCTTTGGAAACTAACTCCCATGAGTTGTTTGACCTAATTGTGAACTTTTGGATAAGTTACTTACATCTCTGAAACTCAATTTTCGACCTATAAAATGGGAGTAATAATGCCTAGCACATAGTTAACAACAGCTAGCCCTTTAACTGTACTTAATGTGCACCAGTCACTGTGTCATGTCACATGGACTATAGTGCCACCGAGTTAGGTTTTATTATTAGTGCGGTTTTTACAGATGAGGCTGCTGGGACACAGAGGAGTTAAAAAAATCTGTCAAAGTCATGCAACAAATAGGACAGACAAATTTGAACCCAGTTGTCTGAGCTCAGAATTCATACCCGTTACAACTGTCTGTGCTCCACTGCTTTTGCAGTGGGAGCTCACGAACATAGGAAAGACACTGAGTACACTGTGGGCTCACTGCCAGTGTCCAGCAAATGTCTGTTCACTCTTTTTGTTCCCAAAAGTACTAGGAAAAGCCAGAAGAAAAGACAGTGGCTACAAGACTTAGAAACTGCACCCAGTAACATCTCTCTATAAAATATCATCAGTCATGTTAAGTGCAAAATTTATGTTATAATTGCAGCAATCATGATTCTAGCTCTCTTCCTGGCACATGGTAAGATTGCACTTTATGTCCTCTCTGGGTTATATTGGGTAATGTGACTAAATTTGGGAAGATGAGTTGAGCAGAATAACATGTTTCATTTCCAGCCTGGAAGTTTTAACTGATAGTTTTTTAAAACCCTCTAAAATAGTCTCCCTCTGCAGCAGCGACCAGTCTACAATGACTTGACTTTCTCTGCTGGCTGAGATCAACATGTAGCATGACTGTGAAATAAATCTTTTTGATTAAGCCAATGAGATGTCTTACATAGGTGGAACCTTGCCAACCCTTATAGATAAATCATCTCCTGTGAGCTACTAACACATTCTCTACCACTTATATTAATATAACTAAGAGTTTCAACCTTTGTCCAATATTATCAGTAGGTATATTGGATAAATGAAGGAGAAATATTTACCTAAGGTCCTCCCTACTCCAAGAGCTAAGCGAATATGAGATAGTTTTAGGTGTCTTTTGATTTGCTCAATCATAGTTGCCAGGGAGACAGATTCATCCAGTGTGCATAATCGTCCCATTCCAGTATGCAGAAGCAAAGGCTGAAGAGAAACAGAAGTTAGAAGCACTGTCGCTGTCCATTATCAGTCCTAAAAAACCAAACTTATAGAACAGCAAATACTGAAATCAATAAAACATGCATACTATGAGCTTACTGTAGCCAGCTCCACACTAAAGTTTGGGGATGCAAACCTAACAGAAACATTTTGGTGTCTAGGAGCTCACAACCTCCCAGAAGGGCAGAAGTTTAAATGAATAATCATAATAAAAGCATTTAAATACAAGGTAAGTACTGTTGTTATAGGAGCACAAAAGAATACAAACTAAATGAGCTGGGACTTGGGGGGTGGTACTTGGGGGAAGCAGATTCAAAGAAAGTTTTACAAGGACTTGGGTTTTAACTGTGCTAAAAAGCCTAGACTGCCTCCTGTAGGTACCCAGTGAGGAGACTACTAATATCCCAGGTGAGGGAAGATGAGAGTTTCAAATACTGTGGTGGCAGAGCTAATAGAGATGAGAAACACTGAGGGACAGAATCAGCAGGGCTTGGACTTACAAGAACAAAGGAGGAATAGTGGAAACTTGGAAAATAAAGTAGATAGATAATATTAACTTAATGTGAAATGGAACAAAACAAAAGCAAAGATGTAAAAGGGTGGGGTGGGGATAAAGTCAGTGTTTGTATGTATTAGATGTGAAATGCTTGTGGGCTCTGTAAGTGGAAAATGTTCAGAAAGTAGTCAAAAGCCAGGCACAGTGATTCACGCCTACAATCCTAGCACTTTGGGAGGCTAAGGTGGGAGGATTGCTTGCTTGCGGCCAGGAGTTCGAGACCAGCCTGAGCAAGAGCGAGACCCCCCCATCTCTACAAAAATAGAAAAATTAGCAGGGCATGGTGGCGTGCACTTTTAGTCCCAGCTACTTGGGAGGCTGAGGCAGGAGGATCGCTTGAGCCCAGGAGTCTGAGTTTGCAGTGAACTATGATGTCACTGCCCAGGCAACAGAGTGAGACCCTGTCTCAATAAAAAACAAAAACAAAAAAAGAAAGTAGTTGGAAATATGGGTTCTTTTACATTTTTTGTTTATCTTAGGAAAGCATTCTGAGCCAGAAAGTAAAGATATAGATTAAACCTGTAACTCTGTAACCAAGTCTATAACCCTGAAGAAGTACCAATATATTCCTATTCCTGGAATGTCTCCCTTTCTCAATATACTTTCCAGGGAATATTATGCTTTCACTGCCACTTTATACTTCTTTAGGTAATAGTTAATGGCCTGTTGATAAAACAATTTACAAATGAATTTGCTGAAGAAAAATGCAAAGGAATCAAACTCAAATTGTATACACTAAACATGTACAATTCTTGGTGTATCAATTATACCTCAATAAAGCTGTTAGAAAATGCACAATAATGTAAGATCAGGTGTTAAAATATTTTTATTACCTTCTCCAGTGACAGAATTTCAGTCTTCTGATAAAGTTGTTTGTTCTCGGAGAGAAAAGCCACCACCTGCATCAAAGCCTTCTGAGTACAATTCAGACTGATCCGTGTTTGTTCTTCATCATCAATCCTAGAAAAAACAAATCACTCATTGGTTTAGGATAATTATAACCAAAATGTATTTTAAATAATCCACAGTTTACAAACCTGCTATAATAGGAGATTAGATTTATGTGGTACTAAGGATTTAACCAACGGAACCCATTTAATCCCAAACCAGTCCATTTTCCAGAATAGTTTTTCAAACTGTAGTATGCATCTGAATCACCTGGGGGATTTTACTAAAACAGTGCTGGCCCCATCCCTAGAACTTCTGGTCTAGGTGGGGGTCTGAGAATTTATCTTTCAAACAAGTTCCAGGTGATGCCAATGTTGCTGGTCCAGGGACCTCACTTTGAAACCACTGTTATTAATACCAATTGTGCACCAGAAACCTGCTCAGCTGGGCATGGTGGCATGTGCCTGTAGTCTCAGCCACTTGCGGGGCAAAGGGGAAGATCTCTCGAGCCCAGGAGTTCAAGAACAGCCTGGGTGATAGAGTGAGACCCATCTCATAAAAAAAAGTAATAATAAAATAAAAAAAAAAAATCTCCTGCTAACTTGTTAAAATGACAGCTGCTGGACCTGTCTACAGATCCAGCGAAACAACATCTACGAATGGGGCTGGGGCAAAATAAATTTTTACAAGCCAAAGACGGGGTAATTTTAAAATATCGTTGAATGAACATGAGAATCTCCTGGACAGATTCTCAAGCAAACTCCATTATAATCACACAGGTCTAGTATAAAGCCAAAAATCTGCAGCTTTACTAAGCACCCCACTAACAATGAGGCAGGGGGTTCTTGAATCACCCTCTGAGAAGCAATGCTCTAGAGCCTCTCCAAAAAGATTGGCATCAAGAAAGTTTTCTATTTAGATAGACAGAAGGGAGGCTGGCTGCTGGTCAGATCTTCATCTTGAAGATGAGGTCATCACCGATCCTGGTCAGCTCGTCATTTTCTTTAATCTTCTTCTCCACCATCTTCTCCAGTGAGTGGATCCACATCTGCCCCTTCCTCAGGCTCGCCTGGAACGCCAAGGCCTCCTCTTGGGCCTTGCTCCAGACCTGGACAAGCTCCTCATTTGCCAGCTTGAGCTTCTCTTCCGCGTGGGCCTTCAGTGCTTGGTATCTCTGGCCCTCATAGTCAATCCTCACTAAGTACTCCTCAGTGCACCTCCTCAGCAACTCTTCATTCTTGTGGTACCTTCAATCACCTCCTTCTGCTTCTCAAACCGTTAGAAGAGGTCAGAGAAGGACTTTTCATGAGGTTCAGGTCTGCAGTAAGTTGGTCTTTTTCTTTTAAAACTTTCTGGATTTCGGCTTTGGCAAGTTCCTCCTGTTTCTGAGCCTCGTCCAGTGCCTGGTACACGACTGCCTCAAACCTGTCCATGATCTTCCCCAGCTCCAGGTTCTTCCCGTGGAACTCCTTACACTTGCGTTTCAGCTCCAGGTTTTCCTCTGTGTCCCTTTCACTGCCATGTCCAGATCCTTCTGCTTGTACTGCAGCAGGTCCACAGTGGGCCCAGTGGCAGGCAGGGGTGGGCCCGGCATGGGAACATCCAGCACTCCCAAGAAATCAAACTCCACGAGTGTGGCTTCTGGCGGATTTCCTGAGGAAGGCCAGTCTGCGTCATGCGTGCTGTTTGTCCCAGTGGCTGTGGTCACTGGTCGACGAGGACTGTCCTTCAGTAGCGGGTTGAACTTGAGGTATAAGTATTGCTTCCTCAAGGCCAACTCCTAAAACGAGGAAGTTCCAAACTGCTCCAGGTAATCTACCTCAGCCCCTGTGCCTATGATCTCTGCAGGGTCTCTGAAGCTCTCCCCTCTCAGCTCCAAGGCAGGCTCTGGCCCCTGCTGAGAGGAGGGCACTGCCTTACTGCCTGGACACAGAATTCTAGAACTAAAGGACACCTTTAAAGATAAACTGGAGGCATAATTGTCAACATTGTAATTATCTGTGGAACTTTGAAAAAAGAAGGAAAAACAATGCCTGGACCACTATCAAATGGCAAAACCCAGAAATTATCTGTAATATCAAAAAAACTGGAACCAAACTAAAAAGTCCATCAGTAGGAAGAGGGATGCTTAAACTACAGTACATGCCTAATAAGAAACACCACACAGCAATTAAGAATGAGATCTTATACACTTATATGTAAAGATCTCTAAGACCTCCTGTTAGGTTAAAAAAAGGGACAGACAGCATATCATTTAATTAAAACAGTGTGTAAAACAAAACTATGTATTTCTTCATGTCCCTATACATGTTTGGAAAGATACCCACGTCTCTGAATAGTTTTTTTTTAATTCCCCAAAACTATTTCAGGACATTTGCAATGGTCTCTCTCTCTCTCTTTTTTTTTTAAGACAGGGTCTCGTTCTGTTGCCCAGGCTGGAGTGCAGTGATACCATCATAGCTCACTGCAGCCTTGAATTCCTGGGCTCAACTAATCCTCCCACCTCAGCCTCCTGAGTAGATGGAACTATGATACATGCCACCATACCCCGATAACTTTTTAAAAATTTTTTTGTAAAGACAAGGTCTCACTATGTTGCTCAGGCTAGTCTCAAACTCCTGGCCTCAAGCAATCCTTCCGCCTCAGCCTCCCAAAGTGCTGGGATTACAGGTGTGAGCTATTGCCCCAGCCAGCAGTGATTTTACTATAAGCAATCTGTACTTAAAAACGACTCATCAAAGAGATCACTTTTTGGTTGTAGCCCAATATGTGTTTTAATATTAATAAAAAGGCACTATATTTATCTTTTTTTTTTTTTAAAAAATCATTAAGTCCTAGCATTGTATAACTTGTCCTTGATGTTCCCACAGGTATTAGGACAAATTAGCCTAAGAGAAAATCTCCTATCTCTGCCCTAAATAATTCAATGATTGACCTCATAAGAGGCACTTAAATATATTCTTCCTAAAAAGTGCCTGGGAATCACTGATTTGCTGGGAACCAATAAATGTAAACCTTATGATATCTTTACATCACTAAGGTCTATCTATATTCTCTAAAGTAAAAACAACTACCTTTCAACATTACCAGGAGGATTAGAAACACTGCATGTAAAATGCATAGTATAGTCCCTCCTATGTAGAAAATAGTAAGTGTTACCTATCATTTTTATTGTTTTGAAAGATTCCATATTTCTTTTATTCTACGACCCATGTGCAAATGAGAAGTATGCTGCTTTGTAAACCAACCCTAGGGAAAATGATTTCTTTCAAACCTAAATACCAGGGTTACAGACTTTCTTAAGGAAAATGCTTACACATAAATACACGCAAAAAGAGAAAAATAAATTGTACCTGGCAGAAAAAGAAGCTACAGAAACATCTACGATTCCTTTCACTGCAGACATGATTTTGTCCAGGTCTTGGGTGTGGTTAACATTGAATTCTACTCGGTGGGTTCCCTCTGTAGGGTAGTTGGGTGCTTTGGAAGGATGTATGGGCCTAGAGGTGCAAGCTCCTAGAGAAAAAATTGTGGGGAAATGGGAATTTCTGTGGGTTTTTTTTTTTTAAGATTAAAAAGATAAACTATTATAGGCAAAATTTATAAGAAATGACTTTTTAAAAAAATTCATTCTCATATGCTTATGAGTATACACACACATATATTCCCCTTAGATATACAGCCCCCATAATGTAGAGCTTCAGCATGGACATACAAAAGCAAACTATTTAGAGAATTTTTTCCAAAAGATTCTTAAATTTCAGAAAAATTTGGACAAGAAAGACTAACTCATGGATTTTTAGATGATACACAGAATTGTTGACTGCTTGGTAAATCTACCTATGTAAACCATGATTCAGGTTGCAAATGCTCATTATCTGTTAGACCACACTAATCTAGATCATATTATCATAAAAGCTTCAGCCCAAAATGAGTAAACTAAAAAGATTTATTAAAATAAAGCTAAAACACTATGCTGAATTCCCTCATTGTGCTGGGCATAAATAAACATTCAATAAAACCCCGATATCTATTTAACTGACATATCAAGTGTTTTCTGGAAAGCCCTGAACTTTCAATTCAACAAGCATTTTTTGAGTGTGTGCTAGGTACTGTGCCACATAGTGAGGAATCACAAAGCTCAGTCCAGCAATGAAGACTTCTTATGCTCTCTTTATTCATTAAGGATAAAAATGTTTCATTTTCCAAATAAAATTTAATTGCCAAGTTTCAGCAACATTTAATGCCCTCCCTACTCCACAAACTTTATAAGAAAGACATTCTAAAGTTTCAAAGGATTTGTAGGAAAATATTAAATATGAAAGAAGAGGCTTCTCACCAAGTCCTTTAGCCAACCAATTGTTGACTCCTTGGGGTGCAGCATCATAGGCTGTGTGAGGAGAGTAGATACCAACTCTGTTCTCCAGAGCTCGGATCACCAGGCGCTCCTTCCAGGTTTTCCAGGTTATGCACTTCATGGGTCGGAAAATAGGTGGATGGTAGGAGAGAATGAGATCTGCTTTCTTTTGCAGTGCCTCCTCCATCACTTCCTCAGTCAAGTCATTGGTCAGGAAGAGTGTGTTTACAGTATGTGGTGGGCTTGGTTCCACCAGTAATCCAACATTGTCCCAACTCTCAGCAAATGAGAGGGATGCAAAGTCATTCAATGAGGAAAGGAGAGCCTTCAAATCCATGAAGGAACGGGAAGAACTGCAGATCAGGGAATCTACAAGCCGGACTGTTGTGGGAACCAGGCGTACACAAGATGACAACATACAGAAATCAGGTAAAACTGAGTATCTGAAGGCAAAACACAGAAAATGGTACACACACACACTTTAGGCCTGGATCTTTGAGGCATCAAAGCATATGGGCAAAAGAGCTGTTGTCAGAGAGATCTGGGTCCAAATAGTGACTCTGACAATTACCAGCACATTGTAGTTTTAGGTAAGTCATTTAACCTCTCGGAGCTTGTTTTCTTACCTACAAAATGGAGATACTATAACCTACCTCACAGGCCATCCAGAGGAGCAAATGAATATGTCACCTAGCAAAGCCTGTACATAATACACAAATGCGTATCTCCTCCACCCAGCCACCACACCTTTGTTCTTATTCTCCCCACCCTTGTTTCAACTACCCTCCTCCCTAATCCTTTTCTCTAAATATTACCATTCCTTTTTCCAAGACCCCCTTCAACTTCCTAAATAAAGCTTTTCTTGAAAAATCTTCCTTTTTGGCATTTTTCCCCAACCCTTTCCTTCCTTTCCCTCCCCTCTATTATTCTCACATTACAGTTCTGTTGGTCTGTCTCCCCCAGTATGCTAAAGTTGCTGGAGGATAGAAACTATCTTTAATAAATCTCAGTGTCACCAGCATAGGCCAGCACTAAATGCTTACTACAGACTGACAGTCCCCCTCTCCTGACTAAAACAGAATTGAGTTGGGATGGTATATACTGGTATGCACTAAAACATGCTTTATCAAAAAATATAATAATATTTAAAATTTCAAGTGCTTTATCAGCAGCAAGAATCAAGGAACACACAGATAGGTCACGTTACAAATGGGCAGGGTCAAGGCAGAAGGCAGGAGCTACTGCTCCTCAACCAATAACATCTGCTTCAAAAGGCCAGGCAAGAGAGGTGTAGGGCACTTAGCCCACACAGCCTGTAAGCCTTCTAATCATATGCATCCAACAAGAAACTAGAAAGCTTGGCAAAAGGGGAAGGTGGGAGGACAATGAGGAGCTGGAAAAAAATTGTTGGCTCTAAAATATGAAAACCGTAAAATTAGCAAATGTTTAATCAAATAACTACAAAAGATAATATTCTCAACCTCATTCTTAAACTTAGTACCCACATTTTTGTTTTTCAAGAAAACCATTTCATGGTATGCACAATATTTAACAAGACAGCATAACCAATTGTAAATTTAACAAAATACCCGTAACGCAATTATTTCAAAAGCAAATTATTTTCAACATTTCTACTGCAAAAATGTTTAATGAGATGAACACACTTATTTAACATGAAGGGATGTGGGGCCTCCAAAAGCCATTCGAGGTCTTAATACTACTCCACTCTCCAGACTCTTCTAAATGTGGCAAGCGCCAAAGTTAACAACGACAATGGGAAGGAGCATAGCATGGTGCTTAAGAGCACTGACTCTGAAGCCAGACTGGATCCCAGAGCCACTGCTGTGTAACCACGGGCAAATCACTTAACCTCTGCAGTGTCCTCCTCTGAAGAAAGGAAATAGTGCCTAGCTCATGTAGTCGCGAGATTTAAACGTTTGTAAAGCTGGAAACAGTGCCTGTCCTAGAGTAAGCACTGTGTTTGCTATTGTTAAGTAACACTGACAACCTGCAAACTGCTCCAAGTTACTTCCTCTATTCCTCATTTCAGTGCCACTTCAGGCCTTTTCCAGGACAGTGAAGAGCCAGGTGACACAGCCGGTAACTTGAGTCAGGATCCCCGCCCCACAAGTGCCCAAAGTTCTCACGCGGCAGGGCAGTTTTCTGTCCTAATCTCCTCTTCTGCCTTCTTCCTCTGCAGCGCCACCACAACACTCACAGCCTGCACTAACCAGGACCCACCTCGAGGGTCACAACTACCCACTCGCCATTTAAATCACCCACTACTCACCAGTCCCGGAAACCCTCCTCTTGCGTCACTTCCGGTCCTGCGCCGGAGCGCCTGTCGTTGTGGCAATGGGCTGGGGGAAGGAGCTGAGCGGAAATGGTCCAGACCCTTTTACAGCCCAGTCTAAAGAACTGCTTGAGGTAGTTCTGGGTTACGCTTCTTGTCCCGGTGTAATTATTCATAGGGCGCCCTTTCACCGTCAGATTTCAAGTGGGTGGGGATAAATTACAATATTCGCCTAGTTCTAGTCGTTTTGGTTTGAGACAGGAAGGAGAGGAGAGGGGGAAGGAGAGGAGAGGGAGAAGGAGGTGAGGAAGTAAGGGGCGTTCTGTTTAATGGGTCCCACGCTCAACTTCCGCTAGTCTAAAGAAATTATAATTTTGAACTAGTTGACCTATACAGGCATCTGTGGTTGCCTTTTTCCTGTTTTAACAACGGCTGTGCTAACCGAAGTGGTTAAGTAAGTACGTATGGAGGAACGTCGTTCATTCTTTCACTTACTCAAATGCTTGCTGAGCTCTCTGTTGGCACTGGTTTAGTTCTTGGGATAGTTCGAGGGAACATTCTGGGCGGAGAGGCTGTTGGAACGTCAGAATAAATAAGGAAAGTTCATAGTATGTTAGTGATACGTACTATGGGAAAAGGAAATAGCGCATGTCTTAGAGTTACAGTAGTTTTGTTTTTGTTTTAAGACAGGATCTCGCTCTCTCCCAGGCTGGTGTGCAGTTGCGTTATCGTATTATAGCTCACTGCAACCTCAAACTTCTGGTCTTACGGAATCCTGCCTCAGCCTTCCCAGTAAGTGGGACTACAGGCACGCGCCATCACGCCTGTCCTATTTTTCTAATTTTTGTAGACACGGGGGTCTCGTTCTTTTTTAGAAATAACTCCTGATCTCAAGCAATCCTATCCCAAAGTGTTAGGATTACAGGTGTGAGCCACTCACCCTGCCTAAAGCGGTTTTAAATAGGGTTGTTAGGGCGACTAAACTTGACACATGAGCGGAGAGTTGGAGGTGAGGAAATTAGCTGTACAGATGTCTGAGTGTAAGCGTTCCAGGAAAAGGGAAAAACCAGTGGCTAGACCCTCAGGTGGGAAGGTACCTGGAGGACTTGCAAGGAGGCTCTTGAAGAAGAGTAAAAGAAGTGGGAAATTGGGGGGCTTGAGTCAGGTAGGGTTTCTCCTCATCACTGATATAGCTGGATTTTTATTAGGGGGATGCTCTTCGAGGATTTTTTTCTTTTAAATATATGGTACAGATGAGTGTGAGTTAAGATGATAGAAAAATGATCTTAATTCTTTTTTCTTTGGGGAATAAAGACTTAGTTTTGAGCGTCTCTCAGGACAATTGTGAGATATTAAATAGTCCTTCCTGAAACCATCAAGAAGAAAAATGGTAAGTTTTGTAGAATTCTTATGAAATGCCTTTCGTAAGTTATTTTTAGAATTTCAGTTAAGGGAAATAAAAGTGCATGGAAATTTTAGTGGCAAGACAGAAATTATAGGCTGTAGAAGCATACAATATAGAATGATCCATTAAAAACCAGAAATAAGCAAAATTGTTTTTAAATTCTTTAATGTCTTCACTTAAAATGCACAGAATTTACCTGCATCAAAAAACTTGATTACAAGTTAAAGACAGAAAGGGGAAGTCCGAGGAGCAGAAGAAAATAGCCAAGTGTAATACTTTTAATTGGATTCTTTTGCTGTGGATCTAAAGTGGGCAACTAGAATTTGAAGTGGAAGAAAAGCAGTGAGAATAGTACCCTGCTCCTCCCACACATGCTCTTATCTGAATCTTCAACCTGGCCATATTGTCTAACTGCTACATGCTATGGTAGGAAGAGAAATGAAAAAGGAAGCCTCCAGATAGTTTTCTCCCTCTCTGGAATAGGGTATAAGAGGAGTATACAAGTTACTAAAAAACAGGTACAAAAACAACAGCAAAAAAAAAAAAAAGCAAGAAACAGCACTATAGTTACCTCTGTACATTTAGGATATAGAAACACCCTTTTTATGTTTGTTATCTTTAGTAAATAAATGAATTGTTTTTAACCCTATTTTTCAGAATTAAAGTACTTAAAGAAAAGGGTGAAAATTATGTTTTGAAAAATCATTGTACTGTGATTTATCAGTAAATAATGATGTTGGTAAATTGTCATATAAATCCATACTAACATAACAATTTTTAAATTTTTATTGATGAAAAATTCAAAGTTAAAATAATTATTTCCATCACAATATTTGCTTCCAAATTTTTAGCATAGATAGCTCTTTATCCTAACATTTATATTTATCTTCTGGAGTTATTTTTCTACCTTTGAAATAAATTTTGAGGAAGAAGTACAACTTCCTGCTATGTGGATGAATAATCTCTGAAGTGGTATTTCTTTCTCTCTGTTTTTATTCAGATTGTCATTTTGAACATTCAATCAGGGAAATAATACAGTGCATAAAGTCACCTGAAGATATCTCATTTGTTCTCACATTCTCTCTCCTTTTTAGTCTGTGACATTGCATACAGATGTAGGTGATATTAAAATAGAAGTCTTCTGTGAGAGAACACCCAAAACATGTGAGGTGAGTACCATTATTTACATAGTAAATATCAGCTAATACAACAGGATAACAATTTGGAAATCAAATCGTCTAACCTGAACAACAACAAAACTTTCTGTAAAACCATTGTAAGAAAAAAAGTAGCCAAGATATCTTCTGGCCTAATTTCCACTTTTCTTTCCTGACGTCAAAGATGGATCAAAGAGTAGGTAGATAATTTTTCTGTAACTGTAGAATGGCTATATCGTTTCCTTTTGGCTCATTTGTCCTCAGGAAACATAATCATTAGGATATTAGAAAAAAGAACTGTTCTATACATTATTTTACCTGCTTAAATGACAAGGATAGAAGGAAGAAGAGTCAGCTGTATGTATGTATTCATTTGTACATATGTATATGAATTGCGAAAGGCTGTCTTGCCAAGGTCTGGGGATACAGTGATTAGCAACAGACATTTCTTGCCTTCATGGAGCTAATATTCTTGCTGGGAAAATAGGCAGGGTGGGAAGATTAAGTAATTCTAAAAGGCAATAATGCCTTGAAGGAAATAAGGGTTGAGATAGAGAATAATGGGAAAGGAACTACTTAAAGGAAGAAGGTGAGGGCAGGCCTAGTCAAGGAAGTAGTACTTTGATTGTAGAAGGTACGATGTTATCTCCATCGAAAGAGATATAAAGGGCCGGGCGCGGTGGCTCACGCCTGTAATCCTAGCACTCTGGGAGGCCGAGGCGGGTGGATCGCTCAAGGTCAGGAGTTCGAGACCAGCCTGAGCAAGAGCGAGACCCCATCTCTACTAAAAATAGAAAGAAATTAATCGGACAACTAAAAATATATAGAAAAAATTAGCCGGGCATGGTGGCACATGCCTGTAGTCCCAGCTACTTGGGAGGCTGAGGCAGAAGGATTGCTTGAGCCCAGGAGTTTGAGGTTGCTGTGAGCAAGGATGACGCCACGGCACTCTAGCCCGGGCAACACAGTGAGACTCTGTCTCAAAAAAAAAAAAAAGAACATTCTATCTGTAGAAGTAGCAGAAACAAAGGCCCCAAGAGAGGGAAACCTGCCCCTTTTGGATAAATTGTCAGAATGCTGATGGGGTTAATGTAGTGAGTAACAGGGAAGGGGTTCTTATATGAAATGTAGAGATAAGCCAGTCCTGCAAGTCTGGTTAGGCCCTGCTGAAGATTTTGTATTTTATTCCAAGAGCAGAAGGAAGCTGTTGAAGTGTTTTAGACAGGGAAGTGACATTATCCAAAATAATGCCTAAAAGTCATAGTTTAAATATGCTGCTCTAGTTGTTTTCAGTAAATATGATTGGTTCTTTGTCTTAAATGGGTTTCTGCTGCATCATTTCTCAATCATTGTTTTTATTCTCTTCAGAATTTCTTGGCTCTTTGTGCCAGTAATTACTACAATGGCTGTATATTTCATAGAAATATCAAGGGTTTCATGGTTCAAACAGGAGATCCAACAGGTAAGTTATTCCATTAACTAAAATCAAGGGAATTAGCTATATAGTATGAAGAAGAGGGTAAAAGAAAAATACAAAAAGAAAAGCATGTGGAGTTTTTATAACCAGGCCACCTTACCATAGCAAGAATTTTTTTTTTTTTTTTTTTGAGACAGAGTCTTGCTCTGTCGCCTGGGCTAGAGTGCAGTGACGTCATCATAGCTCACTCAGCCTCCCGAGTAGCTGGGAATACAGGGGCACGCCACCACACCCAGCTAATTTTTCTATCTTTTGTAGGGAAAGGGTCTCGCTCTTGCTTAAGCTGGTCTCGAACTCCTGAGCTCAAGTGGTCCTCTTGCCTCAGCCTCCCAGAATGCTAAGATTATGGATGTGAGCCATTGCACCCAGCCCATAGCAAGAAATTTTAAGCAGAAGCTATTAACACCTACCCCTAAAATACTGATAAGAAGAGTTGTTCTTTTTTGGTTTTTATAGGTATTTTATTCTTCTGTAAAGTTAAAATTGGTAAAGTGCAACGGCCATATCAAATTTTGTGTGTATTTAAAGAGTTATACTATAAAGTAGCCCTTAAGTTTTAGGAAAGAACCCTTTTCAACTTTAGATACTTCTTTTGATTTGCTTGTTTTGTAATATAGGTACTGGAAGAGGAGGTAGCAGTATCTGGGGCAAGAAGTTTGAGGATGAATACAGTGAATATCTTAAGGTATATCCCCAGTGCTTCAAAAATCTGTTTTCTCATGCCTTGGTTACACTTGGAAACTAGATACATGTGTTGTATAATAGTAACACAAGTTAACATCATTACTAAATGAATATACTTTTTTGTAGTTTTGCACACTTGTTAAATGATGTCAGGGAGAAAATTGTAAGTGGTAGTTCTTGTCTGACATTTATATTGGAATCTCACCATCTCATGGATCTTGATATTAAGCGAGCTCATCTTTGAGCCCAATATTTAACTATTAGTAGTAATATACCAAAGGGACTTAATATCTCACTATAAAATTCGTGTTGGAATGACATGAATCAGTGGCCTTTTTTGAGAGTGGGTAGGAAAGATTATTAAACTTGGTTGCAATATTGCCCATGGTCAATCCCCAACTTTTTTTTTTTTTTTGAGACAGAGTTTCATTCTGTTGCCTGGGCTAGAGTGCCGGGGTGTCAGCCTAGCTCACAGCAACCTCAAACTCCTGGGCTCAAGCGATCCTCCTGCCTCAGCCTCCCGGGTGGCTGGGACTACAGGCACACACCACAATGCCTGGCTAATTTTTTCTATTTTTAGTTGTCTGGCTAATTTCTTTCTATTTTTAGTAGAGATGGGGTCTCACTCTTGCTCAGGCTGGTCTCGAACTCCTGAGCTCAAGCAATCCTCCCGCCTCAGTCTCCTAGAGTGCCAGGATTACAGGCATGAGCCACCACGCCCAGCCTCAATCCCCAACTTTTATCATTTTCCTATTTTTCCCATTTATTTTTTATTTGTATATATTCATGGGGTACAAGTGCAGTTCTGTTACATTGATACATTGCATTATGGTGGAGTCAGGGTATAATTTTCTGTTAGATGTTTGAAATTCCTGTATTAACTTGACTTAATACCTGTGGTAGATCTCAGGTTAAAGAGAAGTGCATATAAATAAATCTTCAGCATGGTAAATTAGCGATTTTTAATATCCTTTGTTATACTTTTCTGTACTTTTCAAATTTTTTAAAGAGTCTTTTTTTTTTTTCTAAAATTAACAACTAGTGTTCACCTATTTTTAAAAATTAGTTCCACTTCCCATAGATAACTTCAGTTAACTATTGTGTGGTCTTTCAAACTTCATATCTGCATATGATAACTTTATAATTAGAAGAAAGGTGATAAATTCTCAAGAATATGCAATTGAGTGTATTATATATTCAGTTACATTAAAATATACCCACAAACATTCCGAAAAAAATTCATTGTGGTATATCTCTCTGGATGATGATACTAAGAATAATTTATCTTGTTTTTGCTTTTCTATTATAAGAAAATATATTAGCTTTGTTACAGAGTTGGGGTTGATAGGTAATAAACTTTCTGAAAAGTCAACCTTTTCCTGAATTAGAAACTAAACAATTTCTAGGCATTAATTACTACGTTAATGACTGTTTCCATATACCAATTGAAAACCAGTGATTGGCTGTGAGAAAAATCACCTGTGGAAAATTCAAAACTATAAAAGATCAGGGCCTTACTCTCCAAAAAGTAGAGATGAATAGTCAGTAGGACTGGTTAGGACCTTGACTATATTTTAAGGTTCCTTGGTGATTCCTTTGCAGCCAGGGGTGAGAACCATTATCTTGTAAAATACACGAAGGTTGCAGAAGTATAATGAATGTTCACATACTGACCCAGCAATTCCATTCCCAAATGTTTACCCAAAAGAAACTTGTATGTATGCACAAGACACATGTACAGGAGTGTTCCTAATGTACTATTTGTAATAGCAAAAATCTAGAAACAACCCAAAGGTCCATTGATTATAGAGTGGATAAATTTTACTATATTCAATAGTGAAATATCACACAGCAGTAAAAAAAAAAAAAAAATCAGTGAACTATAGCTACATATACATCTATGCATCTAAGAAATTGTAACAAGGTTAAGTGTAAAAAGCATTTCCTAGAAGACTAATGTTGTGTGATGTCACATTATATAGAGTTCAGAAGGAAAAGGAAACAATGTATTGTTTAGGCTATAAGTGTATCAGAATAGTGGTTACCTCTTGGAGAGGTTGAGGTAATACATAGTTGGAGAGGAGCTCATAGGCATTTGCAACAAATTGGTCAATTTTAACTCTGAGAGCTGGGAAATATGTTAATGGGTGTTTATTAACTTAAAAACTGGTACCTATATTCTTGTGTATGTATTAAATATTACATTTGATTGCTAGGTATCTTTTAGGGAGACAAAGTAATAATATTTTGATGTAGCTGCATCTCTATGGCATGTTAAATTAATGTCACCTGATGAATAGCTACAGCTAGAATAATCAGTGGAGTTACTCGAAATATATTTTATATTTGGGCACCTCCCTGTAACATGTTCACAGTCATGTCTTTAGTCTTTTCAGTAAGGCCCTCTTAATTCCTGTACACATTCCCATGTACACAAATAGTATTATGCTGTTAGAGCTGGATAAGCTCTTAGATCATCCAGTCCTGGGATTATGAACTGACTGCCCATGGAGGGAAGACCCACAGATGCATTCTCGATGACCATCAGTTTAAAAAAAACTTTTAATGCCATTAGCGAATAGATAACTATTGAATCATTTTGCCAGACTCCATCTCTCCATAATGCTTATGTTCTGCCCAACTGTCAGTTTATCTGCTTGACCCTTGTGAGCATCTGAACTATGAATAGACCCCTGAACTAGTCCAACTTCCCTTGTTTTACAGATAAACTAGCAAGAGTCCAGTGTATATGAGAAGAGATTATGGGGATTTTGATTTTGTTGTCTACCTGATCATTTTATTCCAGCACACTATCCCTTAATATAAATGTAAGGATTATTTCCGTTATACATTCCTATTGCTAAAAGTGTTTGTGGCTGTACTTCTTCAAAGTGAAAATGAAATTCATTGAGGAATAGGATTTGTTATGTAAACAATTTACATACAAGTTTTCAGGGATACAGATAATACAGAAACTGAACATTTGGATTAGCCCTAATAGAAGCTGGTTAAATGTTTTTTCTTGGTCCCTTAAATATTAACAAGGTAAAAAGTGCATGTCCTGTTTTAATCCTATATTTGGAATATTTATATTATAACTTAGTTAATACTTTGCTCTTTTTCAGCACAATGTTAGAGGTGTTGTATCTATGGCTAATAATGGCCCAAACACTAATGGATCTCAGTTCTTCATCACCTATGGCAAGCAGCCACATTTGGACATGAAATACACAGTATTTGGAAAGTGAGTATTTTGGTTATGGTCTTTGGCATTTCAATGCAAGGGGTACATATGCTTGGCTGTGATAGTAGCATAACTACTATTGAAAAGAGCAGTATGAGAGCAAGTGCACCTAGAGTTTAAGTCCACCACTCACTAGCTCTGTGTGACTTTGGGAAAGTTGTCACCTCTCTGAGCCTCATTTTACTTAATTTGTAAAAGAGGGGCAAATAATTTTTTTCAGGATTGTTATGCAAATTAACAGTAATGTGTCTGTTTTCATTAAGAATAGCATTTCACAGCACCTAACAGAGCTGGAAAATAGTGGCATAAACAAGATGGACTGGCATGGTGGATCCAGGCACCTCTGTCTTTTTTCACAACTATCTTTATTTTCCATCCTCAAGCATGCTCATGGTCATAATTTGGGCAGTGCAGCTCTACTCAGAACATCTGTGTGCCAGGCAGAAGCGAGGAGGAAAGACAAATGGTGTTTGCCAGCTGAGTCAGCCCCCTTTTAAAGAACTTTGCTGGAAGACCCAGAACTTAGTAATATGGCCACCCCTCATCAAAAAGGGAGGGTAGAAAATGTTTTTCAGCTGGACACATTGCCACTCTCGCTAAAATCAGATTTCTCTGAGTAAGAAGAAGGGAAGAGTGGATCCTAGGGAAGTATTTAGCAGTCTATGCTAGAATATCCATTGCAAGTGCTATACATGGTTTTATAAATTTTATAAATCCGGGGGAAGTAAATTCATCTGTTAATTCAACAGATATTTACCATGCTGAAAAATAGACCAAGGCACAATTCTAGAGTTTGTTTCTAGAGTTTGGATGCCAAGTTAGGTTTATTAAAAATAGATGACTGGCTGGGCGCGGTGGCTCACGCCTGTAATCCTAGCACTCTGGGAGGCCGAGGCGGGTGGATTGTTTGAGCTCAGGAGTTCGAAACCAGCCTGAGCAAGAGCGAGACCCCGTCTCTACTAAAAATAGAAAGAAATTAATCAGACAACCAAAAATATATAGAAAAAATTAGCCGGGCATGGTGGTGCATGCCTGTAGTCCCAGCTACTCGGGAGGCTGAGGCAGAAGGATTGCTTGAGCCCAGGAGTTTGAGGTTGCTGTGAGCTAGGCTGACGCCATGGCACTCTAGCCCGGGCAACAGAGTGAGACTCTGTCTCAACAACAACAACAACAAAAAAATAGATGACTGTACAACTTTTCTTTTTCATTCCATATATGTGTGTCTAATTTATGCATTATTAATGTTCAATGAAACTAATGAACTATTACAGCATCTAGTAATTTTTGTGCATATGTAAATAATCCAGTTTCCCTTCCTTTTATTTTCTCCCATCATTCAAAATTATTTATCAATAATAACCAGGATTTATTTTACAGGATTTGTGACAAAACTGTAGCGCTTAGAACAAGGGAAGATGATCCATAGCTTTCCTTTGTCTTGCCAAGAGGCCCATGTCCCAGATAATTGACTAGACTCAACCTGCCTCTATTCTACCTGCCCCAATCCCCCGCTTGTTTTTCTTTTTTCCTAAGACTTGTGTTTCCTATATCCTCTGTTTCTCTTACTGACTTAGAAGGTGGGAAAGCCCTTAAGATTTACAATTTAGAGGCTGGGCAAGGTGGCTCACACCTGTAATCCTAATCCTAGCACTCTAGGAGGCTGAGACTGGCGGATTGTTTGAGCTCAGGAGTTCGAGACCAGCCTGAACAAGAGCCAGACCCTCGTCTCTACTAAAAAATAGAAAAAATTAGCTGGGCATGGTGGCACATGCCTGTAGTCCCATCCCAGCTACTCAGGAGGCTAAGGCAGGAGGATCACTTCAGCCCAGGAGTTTGGCATTGTAGTGAGCTATGATGATGGCACTGCACTCCAGCCTGGGCAACAGAGTGAGACTGTTTCAAAAAAAAAAAGTCTTTAAAAATTATCTTCAGGCCATGGATATAAGGTATACATAAAAAATGAATTTCATCTTTAGATTTAGGTTCCTCCATCCCCAGGATATCTCATTACATATATGCAGATATTCCAAAATCAGAAAAAAATCCAAAATCTGAAACACTGCTGGTCCCAAGTATTTCCGATAAGGGATATTTCGCCTGTATAAATCTTGGGAATTGATTTGAGTTACACTAGGAAGTCTAATCTAAAAAGCCACTCTTTCTTAGCAAATGTTTTAGATTCATATTTCCAGAACATGTATTCAAAGAACAGCTCTCAATATTTTTTCTTTAGGTTGATCACATGGCAGAAATACTCTCTAGGGATTAGGGGGATGGGGGGGAAATCTACAACTAAAGGACACGGGGAGCACTAAAGGGAGGGAAGGGCATGCCTTTAACCCGCATTTGGGTGAGGCAAAGACATAAAGTGTAACTACAATGTTTGTACCCTCACAAAACCCTGGAATAATAAAAAAAAAAATATTTTTTCTTGGTGTTAACATGAAGTGGACTTGCTGGAGGCTGAGTTAACTGTCAATCTTCTCTTGTCCTGTTGTTGTTATTATCACTTTTTATTGTTGTCCAGAAGCAAAAAGTGGAAACACCGTATTTAAAGGATAAAGTATGTATCCACCTACTTCAGGACTTTCAGTGTAGGGCAATACTAATAATAGTGTCATCCTACATACTTTCTCCAGGTATTTCCTATGGCAAAGAAATCCTTATGACTGGTATGATATTGTGATATAATAAACAATATATATTTGGTCTTCATTTTTGGTTACTGGCACAGGGCTTCTAAAACTCTTGGAATTTCCTGAGTGATAGGAGTGAGAGGAATATTTTATTATTCATAATTAGCCTAGCCCCTTTCAACTGTATTTGAGTTTATGCTAATGCGGTGATTCTTGGTGGGCCCCTAGATAGCTTCAGGATGGGAGCCAGCTGCCCAAGGAATCAGCCATATGATTAGAGAATTGGAACTTTCAGCTGTACTTTCCAACCCCCTATCCCTGACTTCTAGGAAGGAGAGGAGGAATGGAGATTGAGGCCAGTCACCAATGGCCAGTGATTTAATCAATGGTGCCTACATAATGGAGCCTCCTTGAAAACCTCAAACAGGGTTTGGAGAGCTGGATTGGGGAGCACATGTAGGTGCAGAAGCTCTGTGCCCCTCTCCTGTACCATGCCCTATGCAGCTCTTCCATTTGGCTTTTCCTGAGTTGTATCCTTTATAATAAGCCATAATAATAAGTAAAGTGCTTTCCTGAGTCTGTGAGCCATTTTAGCAAATTTTCAAACAGAGCCGGGGCGTATGGGAACCCCCTAGTCATATCTGGTTTGGCAGAAGTACAGATCACAACCTGGGACTTGGAACTGGCATCTGAAGTGGGGAGCAGTCTTGCGGGACCAACTTGTGGGGTCTTTGCTCACTCTGTGTTGGAATTAAATTGTAGGATACCCAGAGAATTGGAGAATTGGGAAAATCCGCATATTCAGTATCAAGTTTTGTGAGACTATAGAAAAACAATTCATTTTCCCTTTAACTGGTTATATTAGCCCCATTTGTAGCTATTCTGTGACTGTATGAGTGAGGTAGAACATAATTTTAGGTACACTGATGGCAATATTCCTACCCTTTGTATTGTTGACTAAGGGCATGAAAACAAATTTTTATTTCTGAATTTTGTACATTCAACTACAGAGTTCAAAGAACTATAAAACATGGTCCTTTTCTCTTAAGGAGACTGTAATTGCTTTTGAAATGTGGATATTACATTTCAATCTGAGGAAATTTTCATGCATCGTATTGTTTCTTTTTCAGGGTAATAGATGGTCTGGAAACTCTAGATGAATTGGAGAAGTTGCCAGTAAATGAGAAGACATATCGACCTCTTAATGACGTGCACATTAAGGACATAACTATTCATGCCAATCCATTTGCTCAATAGCTATAATAGACGTGGACAAAGACTTAGCAAACTATTTGCTGGAACACACACACCTAGTGTGGTTTACCCAGTTTTAATTATGTCAGAGATTGCATCAGCCTTCTCCTTGTTTACAACTAAGATCTTCTCTGAAATGGTGGTATCAAGAAGAGCCCAACAGCTTTTACCCCCATTCTTAGAGCATGTTCTTTACACCATTATCCAATGTATTTTTTAAATTTTAATATAAAAAATACCTTTTGTTTAATTTTTGTTACATATAAACTTTCATTTTTAAATGCTAAGCCTCAGTTAAGTGCTGACATTTTTGAGTATCCTAATTACATACTCCTACTATATCTAGTCCATACCCTGGAAGTACTATTTTCTTTTAATTATTCACTATACACGGAAAGAGGAGAGACAGTGTAGAGAGATTGTCTAGAAAGGCCAACGAATCCATTTGCTATTTTGTCTGGTTTTTAGATTTATAGTAAAGGCTCTAAGAAGTGCTAGAATACAGTAAACATTCAACATTTCCCAACTGATTTGCTCATTGACATTTCTTAAAATCATGTCTTTCAGGCCAGGCGCCCTGGCTCACACCTGTAATCCTAGCACTCTGGGAGGCTGAGGTGGGAGGATTGCTCAAGGTCAGGAGTTCAAGACCAGCCTGAGCAACAGCAAGACCCTGTCTCTACTAAAAATAGAAAGAAATTATCTGGACAACTAAAAATATATATAGAAAAAATTAGCCGGGCATGGTGGCGCATGCCTGTAGTCCCAGCTACTCGGGAGGCTGAGGCAGAAGGATTGCTTGAGCCCAGGAGTTTGAGGTTGCTGTGAGCTAGGCTGACACCATGGCACTCTAGCCCAGGCAACAGAGCAAGACCCTGTCTCAAAAAAAAAAAAAAAAAAAAAATCATGTCTTTTAAAATATTGAAAAATAGAGCTCTACAAAAGATGCATTTGAAAAATGCAATGAACTGTTTAAAAGCACTAGTTGTGCAGTCCTGGTCTGTGTTTTAATCACAGCTGTGTCCCCTACTGTGTGACTTTAGGCAAGTTAACCTCTCTTTAGTATTTTCGCCCATAAATAATATTCCCTCATAAGACTATTGTGAGGATTAAATGAAATAATGTGTGTAAAGCTTCCGGCATGTAGTAAGCAAATGGAAACTGCTCTCCTAAATATTCATGTCCACCATAGGGCTCTCACCTAATGAAGCCATTTATCAGGCTCTACCATTGATTTCATTTCATCAGGAATCATATTTCACCTAGATCACTTTGATTAGATTTGAGTATTCCTAAAACTGGTACCAAACATTTGTCTTGATATCAGTCCTTGGTTTGTCTCATTTCTCCCATGGCTGATCTAATTAATGTGTTGATTCTTTTTTAACTACAGTTTAGGGATTAGCTTGCAACTATCCTGTTACCATTTATACCTTCCACTAAACTGAGGTGCCGGATATACTAGTGACCTCACCTTTAGTTTCATCTTTTTAATCATTTAGATCTCTAGAATTAGTATTAAAGCCTTTCTTTGGCTAGATTTTGTTTTGCTGCTTCTTATACCTCATACCCTTCTTCCCCAAATATGTCATTGAATTTTTTTGTGGTCACTTTTTTTTTTTTTTTTTTTTTGAGACAGCATCTTACTCTGTTGCCCGGGCTAGAGTGCCGTGGCGCCAACCTAGCTCACAGCAACCTCAAACTTCTGGGTTCGAGCAATCCTTCTGCCTCAGCCTCCCAAGTAGCTGGGACTACAGGCAGGCACCACCATGCCTGGCTAATTTTTACTATATATATTTTTAGTTGTCCAGATAATTAGATAATTTCTTTCTATTTTTTAGTAGAGAAGGGGTCTCGCTTTTGCTCAGGCTGGTCTCGAACTCCTGAGCTCAAAGGATCCACCCGCCTTGGTCTCCCAGAGTGCTAGGATTACAGGCGTGAGCCACAGCGCCCGGCCTGTGGTTACTTTTAAGAGGCCTTTATTGATGATTGTTAGGATGTTTTGTACTTATTGGCATTCCTACAGTTTTTATTCCAAACTCTGCCATTTTTAATTGGTGGTGCCAATGTGGTGATTTTTTGGTTCTTAGAGCTTATCTTACAATGTCTGCTCAATTATAGTCATAAAAATATCATAGATAGGGTGGTATACTGGCTGCCTACCTTGGGCTTAATGCAGGCCCCATGAGGATCCAGGTCCAGAACATTGAATACTGTTGGCTTATGTTGACTGGTTCATACCAATCACATTAGTGATTGGTTCTATGTAGTGACTGGCAGTAAGTATAACTGCAAAGAAGACTTGAATATTGCTCATTAGCCTGTTTTTCTCTTCTTTAAAAACAAAGTAACATGGTTCGCCATCTTTCCCATGGTTGGCAAACTACAGCCCTCAGGCTATCTGCCTATCTTTTGTAAATAATGTCTTGGAACATAGCTATACCCATTTGTTTACATATTGTCTATATTGTCTCTGGCTGCTTTTGCTACAACAGCAATATTGATTGCTAATAACAGAGACCAAATGGCCTACAAGCCTAAAATATTTTGAGTCTCCATTGTGTATCATTCCACTCTCTATATGCTCATGTGTACACTTTTTTTTAGTACCCACTTATGAGTGAGAACATGTGATATTTGACTTTCTGTTTGGCTTGTTTCATTTAAAATAATGACCCCCAGTTCCATCCATGTTGCTGCAAAAGACATGATTTCATTCTTTTTTATGACTGAATAGTATCCCATTGTACGTATATACCACATTTTCTTTATCCAGTCTTCCACTGATGGATATGTAGGTTGAGGGAGAAATTCCATCACAGTAACTTTTGAAATTTATCCATAGTTGTTTGGGTATGTTTAGCAGCTCAAATGTTAAGTAAATTTAGGGAATCCCAATTTCTGGAAGCTAAAAGCTAATCACAGTGTGCTAGTCATTGTGCTAAGCACTGTACATTTATGTTCTCAATCCTAACTATCTGCAAATTAGGATTCCACTATTATTCCACTATTACAGGTAAAAGTTGCAGTAAACAACTTTGTGCCAAGAGCTATCTAGTGTTTACAATAATTTCTGTAGGAGAAATCACAGTAAAATTACAGGGTCAAAGACAATGGAACAGAGAGTGGAGTAGTTATAGTTTGATTATATTATATACTTTAAGCTCGTCCACTCCCTTCGCTGTGAAACCATGATTATGTGGCAACTTCAGATAGTCTAAATCAAGTGTTACAATGTGTACTACTCAGGTGATGGTTACACCAAAAGCCCAGGCTCCACCACTACACAATATACACATGTAACAATTCAACTTGTACCCTGTAAATGTATTAACATTTTAAAAATAAATAAATAAATCTGGTATTGGCAAAGTTTTTCTGAAAGGACCAGCAAAATATTTTAGGCTTGCAGGCCATTTGGTCCCTGTCACAACTAATCAATATTGCAATCAACATTGAAAAAAAAATCTCAGTGGATATTGCCAAAATTGCCTTCCAAAACGGTTTTAAATTTAGCAAAAAGCCATTTATTAATTTGGGAAGTACCTAAAATTTCATTTACGAAATTATTTTAGTGCATGCTATGGGCTGAGTTGGGGGTGCCGGCTATAGTACCCCTCCCCCATTCATTTGTTTAAGTCCTAACCCCCAGTACCTCATAAAGTGACTCTTCAGAGATAGAACCCTCACAGACGTAATTGAGGTTAGATGAGGTCGTTAGGGTGGGCTCCAATCCAACATAACTGGTTTCAATATGAGAAGAGATTAGGACACCGACTGCAGAGAAAAGACCTTGTGAAGACAGAGGAAGAAAGTGCCCATTTACAAGCCAAGGGGAGAGGCCTTAAAAGAACCCTGCAGAAACCTTGATCTCGGGCTCGTTTAATGAGAAAATGTTGCTTAAACGTGAAGAGTCGCCACTTCATACCCCAGGCTCTTGCTAATTTCTTCACTTTTTAAAATCTTGGGGAAATCTTTCAAATCCAATTTTAGTGCATGTGAGCCCCAGCAAGTAAAAACTAAGGGTTTTTTCGTTTTAATTTCCCCATCGGTTTGGTGATAAAAACTAGTTTTAAATAGGTCTCAGAACCTTAGCAAAAGCTGAAATCCAACCAGTTAGTACTTTGGAGCTATTTGACGCTAGTGGTATAGTATTTTTGAAACATTATTTTAATTATCGCAATCAGGGCACATGCTATTTTGTGTTCTGCTTCCCTAACTTTTCTTTATTTCTTCGTTCACAGATAACAATTTTAAGTGAACGAGAAGGAGAGGCTTTTCCCCGGTAGGTGTAGTTCTTTCTCAGGATACAAACAGACTCGGACCAACATGGCCGCGGCGGCAGCTTCGCGTCGGCTCCCAACGCGGCGCCTGCGCACATGGCGGTCACGCGCGTGCCCCGCCCCGCCCCGCGGCGGAGACGCGCTTGCAGCGTCATCAGTGTTTTCGAGGAGAGTCTCGACGCTGCGGCTGTCAGCTCCATTTTGTTGCTGGCGCTTCTCGCAGGCTGGTGGGCGCTTTCTGTGGTTGCGTTGCAAGCTTTGTCTTCTTTGGCTTGGAGTCTTCCGCCAGGACGGTAAGATGCAGGAGGGAGCAGATTAGGTGTCAGGGCCTTTCCCGTGTGCCTCGCGGGCGCCTGGCGATGCCCTTTCCCCTCCGTGTTTGGGGCCCCAGTCTCCGCACGACGACCGCCCCCTTCCTATCACTCCAGGGCTGCACAAAGGCGGCGGGCCCGTCCTCCGTGCTCTGCCGAGCGGGCTGCCAGCTTCTGCTTGCGGGGGGACAGTCCTGGTGTTCGCTGGCCGCGGCGCCCTGGTCGGGTCCGTCTTCCGTAGAGGGAGTGGTGCGGCCTGAACGGCGGCTGGGCGAGCCCAGGGCACCCGCGAGCGCCATGTTGTCGGCCTCGTAGCTGAGCTGTAAGATGGCGGCGGGGCGGAGGCCGGGCTGCGCCCTTGCCCGAGAGTCGAAGCCGCCGGTGGGGGTGGCGTGTGCTTGCTTTCTGGAATGTGTGTCAGGCACTCGGCTGCGGGGAAATGTGTCTGTAGCGAGGGGAGAAAAAGACAACACGTTGAAGAAAACGCGGTTAATGTCTGGTTGGGTCTTAAAAGATTGATGTGAAAATCGTGAGTGATGTTAACAAAAACCAGATTTAGGAATCCAAGGAACGAGAAATAACGTATTTGAAGGAGCGTTGTGAGAAATCAGGCGATCGGGCGTTTTCTGCACTGGAGTTTCAGCCCACTCCTTTTGGGATAACAGAGCGCTTGGATTCAGAGTTGTATGCAGAGGTGTAGAGGGGTCGGAGCTGTTAGTGAGAAAGGCAGGTGGTGAAAAGCCATTTCTTT